GTTTCAGGACAGCCAAGTTTAGGCAGTGAAGGAAACTATCAAAAACAGAAAGTGGGTTGAAGATGTAATTGAACAAGGGGGGCCATGGTCCAGCCCCAGCATGCAGGAGAACTTGGCAGCTTCAGCCATGTGGTTCTGGCTTTAGAGGCAGGAAGAAAAGGGTTATGGAACCTCCTTCATGACTAAGGAAAGCTGCTGAGACCAGGCACATGTCAGGGGTGTCCCTACACAATGCCTAGAAAGGCTATTTCGTAAAGCTGTCAAGGTGAAGCCTGGATTGCCCTGGAGACCCCAAAATGTTGGAGATGCCAGAGCCATGGGATACCTGCCAAGGAGACACGCTCACAGGAGTGGAACCAGCCTAAGAGAGAGAAGTGCATTACAGTCAACAAAGCTGGAAGGAGTTGGAGATCTGAAGAGCACTTTGATATCAGACATGAAGATGCGGAGTTTGGAGTTTTGCCCAGCTGGTTTTCAGTCTTGCTTTGGTCCAGTATTTCCTCACTATGCTCCCTTTTGGAATGATGTATCCTATGCCACTGTATGTTGGAAGAATGTGATCTGCATTTTCATTTTGATTGTACAGGGGTTACAGTTAGTGGATTGCTATGAATTTCAAAAGGAACTTTGTACTTTTAAACAGGGTTGAGACTTTGATAGACCATGGGGACTTTTGAGGTTGTACTAAATGCATTTTGCATTATGATATAACTACATGCCTGTGGGAGTAGAAATGTGGTGGTCTGAATAAAAATGCCCCCCATATGTAAGCCAGCCCCAATTAAATGTTTTCCTTTATAAGAGTTGCTATGGTCATGGTGTCTCTTCACAGAAATAGAAATCCTAACTAAAACAGCTACTTCTATAAAACATTCATACTCCTAAGGCTCAGAGAATACTGCAGTACAAAATGCAAAAAGATTATAAGAGCCAGAGGACCAGAGACTTTGCTGTGAGATTGCATCTTCTAGTAATGCCAGAAGCTATGCCCATAAAAGCTCAGTAACATGATTTCCTAACTGTGAACTGAACAAGGACAACAACAATAGACATTCCAAAGTGGATGGGGGAAAGACCATGAAGCCTTGACCTACCTACACAAGTAACTACAGTCAATTAAAGAATGCTGAGAGCAGGATAAATAATCCTTCTTTCCTAGGTAAGAGCACACCAATTGTTTATCCAATATCAAATGGTCAGCCCTGAAAAAATATATGCAAGTAGTACAATAGACTGAGCAGGTTGTACTTATGTATCAAGAAATATATATATATGTATGTAACAATAATTAATGAAAAATACAAGCCATGAATTTGGAAGAAAGCAAAGAGGGATATATGGGAGGATTTGGAGGAAGGAAATGGAAAGAAGAAATGATGTAATTATATTAATCTCAATAAAAAATACTTTTATTTTAAAAATCAAATAGGGCTGCAACTGTTGAGCAGAAATCAGTGTCCATTCTCATCCAACACAATGAGCTACAGTGTAAAAACACCCACTGAAAGAAACTGTGCAAGTGTGATTATAAGAACTAGACCTCCAAACGCCAGTCTCTGGAGCCAGCTGCACCGAAACTGAGAGACCAAAAGAAAAATAACAGTCTTCCTACTATAATGACCTCCATGTAATGACTGTAGCTATCCCAAATTATAATTTTGTTGTATAGCAGTTTGAGCCATCTTGTCTGAGGCAGGGCAGTCACCAGGTTAATTACCTTATCTTGAATTCAAAAGAGGAAAAGGTGCTAACTTGATGTCAAATAAAGGCAAGGTACCAAACCTTGTAGTAAAGGTTACTCTTAGGCCACTCATATCACTGCATTGTGTTCATTCTGCCTAAAACCTGACTAAATGCTACTCCTCGGCTGTCAAACCATAAGGCAAACACTGCAAAGAAACTGTGCTCTTGAGTCTTGGAGAATATTTATGAGGGTGGATACAGTGAACAAATAAAATCAATGGTAGAAAAAACAATACAAAACATGCTTCCTTGTTGCCGCAGGCAAATCTGTTGCTTAAACAATAACAACAGAATCTAATCAGTAAACTTCCTAGCTGCCAAAATTATATGAGCAACTTGCCTATTTAAAAATGTCACATTTCCCATCTGATATAAATATTTGCCTTCTGCTCACATTCCTGAAGTGCAATACAAATTAGACCACAAACTAAAATTCACCTTGGCACAAAACATTTAATTTCTTTCTCCCTTTCAAGTGACCCAGATTGCACATTATGAAAATTGGGAAACCCTGGTGGTTTTTTTCTGTGATTAGAATAGATCAGTGCGGACTGAATCAACTGTCAGTCATCAATTCACATGTCATTTCACACAAGAGACATTCTTAACTATTTTCATTCAAGTCCACTGAGACTTGGTTCAATTGTTTACACACAAATACAAGACCTCCTGCTATCTAGTTTCTGGAAACATGATACTGGTGAGATTTTTTTTTTTTTATTCACTATTTTAAAGAAGGAAATAAACATGGTAACCAAGAAGCATACTTAAAATATTTAATGAAATCAATGTCACAAATAAATAGGAAAGATAGATGTAAAAAAAAAAAATTAAATACACTGGCCACATTGGTTTATGTCAGTATGAAACAGATGAGGGGGATCCACCTCTCTCTGACACACATGCCTAGTGTTCAACACTGTTAAACAGTGTTAAAGGTTCACAAATCACTATTAGCATTAGTGATACTCTGTTTAGGTTCTTGTTATAAGCAAACCTGATCATGTCCCTGCAATAATGTTGCAATAAGCAAAGATGTTGGGGATCCGACCATGTGACTCCCTAATTAACAGCCATTTTCCTATGTTGCACTGGCAGCTTCCAGCATTGGACTTGTAAAGAGCCAGCCAGGTAACACTGATGCTTATATTGACTGTTCTGAACACTACAGACACCTTCAGAAAAACACACAATATCTACACAATGAGCCCAGGTGACCACTGCAGCTCCTGAAGTACATTCACTCTTCAGCAAAACTTTTGTCAGTTTCAACGAGCTTTGAAGAACTCTAGAGAGCTTTCAAGACTCTCAGATACCCTTGGCCCTGGAGGTACAACACTGGCCCTGCCAAGGCCTGAGGCATACCAACTCCCTAGGTCAACACTTATAAAGATAAGGATCCTGATGTCCTAGACCTATTCAAGAATAGCTGAACCAACAAGTAAAGCAAAGGGGCACACTCGTCAGAGCCAGTAGCAGAATTGCAACCCTAGAGGGTGCTACGTGTGGCTGCTCCCTCCTGTCTGTGGCTACAGCTCACTGCTATCAAATGCTAAAGGAAATAACAACTGCCAAATAACACCACTCACAGAGATTCTTCTCAGCTATCCACAGTTTCTATTAGGGAAAGCCAAAGAATGGCAGGCCAAATGACTGAAGACAAATACAGACCTTCTCACTGCTAGCAGGAAGTGAGAAACTTCGTCACAAAAATGCCTAACACAGGCACCCTTCTGCTCACCTATAAAACTGATTTTATCTTATAAATGTTTTATATAGAGACAAGATCCAGTAGCCTAAAGTATCAACCTCAAACAATAGCAGAATCAGAATCGTTAAAATTTAGCTCATGGGATGCCACCAAAGAACTAGTGAATTAGATTTTCTTACAGGAGTAAGGTACAGGGATCTGCATTTTTTAAAAGCAAATTTCACTCTCCAAAATCAACCAAAACATTCGCTTAACCATCCTTGGCTCTCCCTTAAGCAGGTCTTACAAAAACTCAGAGTCACTGTGATATGAAGTCAGCAGTGTTCCCTGAAGGATGTGATTTCTCTCAATCTCTGATCACGCTGCAATGCATAACTTCCAAGTCTTCCAGTCTTCCGGCTAAAAGGTACTTATGGAACAATACCTCCAATGGAGCACTATGGCATTCAGAAGCAGAATAAACATTTTCATTGTGTTAAATTCCCAAAGCCTTACCAACTCAAGTAACCCAAAAAGCTAGGGCAGGGACCTACACTATCAAGTGCCAAGCAGTTACTACCCCAGATCAATTTTCCACAGCCACTTTAATGCCAATCTGGTTGCAAGGAAACCTCTTCTCCCAACAATAGCAATAATGTGAGTTATGACTAAGCAGTGTGACAACAGGAAAAGATCAACTTCAAGATGTCCTCTCACATCCAATAAAGAGCCAGGGTTTTCTGTTGCTCCTATTGTCATTGTTGGCTTGCTTCTTTTGGAGACAGATTCTCATGAGGCCCAGACTAGCCTCAAACTGGATATGTAGTCAAGGATGACCTGAATTTCTGATCCTCGTGTGCTAATATTACCCCATGTGCCACCACACCAGTTTTAATGTTGGCTGAGGACAAACAACAGGACTTCATGCATTCTGGGCAACACTCCATCAGTTGAACTATATCCCCCCAGCCCAAACTCCAAACGTCCCTTGAAGAAATATACCTGTGCCTATACAAAAATGCTAACCAGGAAAGAAAGCAATCCTCCATATGAACACCAACAGATTAATATAGAGCCTCTTTCACTGGATTGGGAAAAGGACTTTAAAAAAGCATTTATATGCTCATTTACATATTTCATAAATTTTAAAGATAAAATTCTGCATATTATTGTTTACTTTATGATCAATCTTTATATTTTTATGATTTTTATGGCCAATTGCTTTTACATTTTTCTTTAAAATAATATCAGCTTACATAACTACTGTTCTGGGAAATAAGGCAATCACTGTATAAGAGCTGTGTGTGATGCAATTATTTAATAGTCTAATTTATTCTGAATTTGGGAGAAGCAAAGTGACAGCACTATGTCACTTAAACCAAAGGGTTCAAAGGCTTTGACCAATTGAGCAAAAGTTTTTGCTTTTCAAAAAGAAATTTTACAACTTCAGGGTTTTTTTTTTTTTTTTTCATCAAGAGAGAAGGTAAGGATTGCTTAAAATAACAAAGCAACAAAAATCACTTGTAATTTCTAGAAAGAGGTCACATTTGGAAAAGAGAGCACATACCCTGGTTCATCCGCGACTTACTCTCTTCCTCCGACTCCAGAGCCTCTAAGTCTATGAAGTTGTCTACCTACAAGAAGATGAAGATAATCTTGTATATATCAGACATGAAGAAAGGCAGTACAATTGCGGACCCACACACACAGCACTCAGCTGAAGGCCGGATCTACTTCCCTTGGAGCTCTCAGGGCCCCATTCAAAGCAGCTGTATGCTTCCCAAGTGAAGGGAGCTGGCCATCTGCAAGTCCAGGCCTTTACAACTGCCCTCTGTTCTCTACAGTGGAGGGGATGCAGGTTGGGAGGTTTCTTATAAGGGACTCTGTTCCAAATTTTCTTCCCAGAATTATTTTTTTCTTTATATATTCTTTTTATTGTTTACAACTTATTCATTTTACATCCCAATTGTAGCCCCCTCCCTCATCTCCTCCTGGCCCCTCCTTTTTTCTCCCATCCCCCCCTGAAAGGGGGAGCTCTCTCCCCTGACATCTGAGTCCAGCTTATCAAGTCTCATCAGGACTGCCTGGATCCTCTTCCTGTGTGGCTTGGCAAGGCCAAACCTCCAGGAAGAAGTGTTGAAAAAGCAGGCAACCGAGTTTATGGCAGAGACAGCCCCTGCTCCCCTTACTCGGGAACATACATGGAGACTGAGCTGCCTATAGGCTACTTCTGAGCAGAGGGTCTAGGTCTTCTCCACACATAGTCCTTGGTTGATGCCTCAGTCTCTGCAGGGCTCCCTGGGCCCAGATATTTTGACTTTGCTGCTCCCGTTGTGGAGCTCCTGTCCCCTCCAGGTCCTTCTATCCCCCAACCCCTGACTTCATCTATTAGACTCCATGCACTCTGCCCAAAGTTTAGCTATGAGTCTCTGCATCTGCTTCCATCCTCTGTTGGGTGGAGCCTTTCTGAGGGAATCTATGATAGGCTCCCTTCCTGTTCCCTCTCTTCAAACACTTCTGGTGTTTATCCTGTTTGCCATTCCTAATGAGAATTAAGTATCTTCCCTAGGGCAGTCCTTGTTTAGCTTCTTTAGGTCTGTAGATTTCATTTAACAAGGACATTTGCTCAACTATGCTCATAGCAGCTTTATTTGTAACAGACAGAATCTGGAAATAACCTAGATGTCCCTTAACTGAAGAATGGATGAAGAAATTGTGGTACATTTACACAATGGAATACTACTCAGCTATTAAAAACAAGGAAGTCATGAAATTTGCAAATAGATGGAACTAAAAGTGATCATCCTGAGTGAGGTAACCTAGAACCAGAAAGACATGCATGGTATATACTCACTTACAAGCAGATATTAGTCATATAATATAGGATAACCATACTAAAATCTACAGACCCAGAATTTTTAACACTACTCTCAGAGGAGACGGCAAATTCCTGGTTTGGGTTTTACTTTCAAGCAACCAGTGATGGTGGTGCTGAGCTACAATCTGTTGCTCATAGCATGCTTTCTTATAGTACTCTGGAGAGTCAGAGAGAGGAAACTAAAGAGAACAGGAAAGAAATATTCATTCAAAACAAAATCATTCTGCCCAGGTAAATCACAGAAGAGATTAGCAGGGCAAGAGAGGCAGAGACAGACCGATCTCTGAGTTTGAAACCAGCCTGGTCTACAGAGCGAGTTCCTGGACAGCCAAGGCTACACGGAGAAACCCTGTCTCAAAAAACCAAAAGGGGGAGGGGGAGGAATCTCTCTTTCAGGCAAATAAAACTGTGAATTACTTCAATAATAAGAAGCTCAGCAAATGACCTTCCCAGACCCAATAGCAACATCTCAATAAAGAGCTATTCCACAAAGAATAGCACTTCCCATTACACACTGACAATAAGACAGTTTAGATTAACAAATGAATTCATCTCAAGGGACTATCAAAGAGAAAATAAGAAAAATCTAAAATAAGAAAAACTAAGAAAAAGCTGGCACATGGCATGTAGTAAAGGTCACAGTCCACTTGACACTCACAACCTAAACAGAGACTTAACAAAATACCTTAAAATTACAAACTGAGGTTCCTTAGCTGCAAAGCAAAGAAGGCTGTGGCTTTCTGTCCTGAGCTGAATGTAGAGTAGGCAGACCATGCTGGCCCCGTAGAAAGTTCAAATGGTAGTGTCCATGCTTGTGAGCTTGTAACTGCACCATTACTTGGCATGTAAACCCAAAAGCAAAATTCACCTTTCATAGGACAGTTTCAATATTAGAATTTGAGAACCACTTACATTATGGCATCTTTTTTTTTTGAATGATTATGCTAAAATGCCCTTTCCATTTGTTAAACTTTAAGGAGGAAAGACCCAGCGCCCAGTCAAGCACAAACAATTCAAGATACTCCAACGCTGATTTAAAAGAGAAAACCTTTCAAGGATAAAATCTGGTGAGTCCTCCAGTTGCATACAAAGGAAAGCAAGAGTCTAGTGTTTGTATATTGGTTTGTAAGGTAGTTTGAATATGAGCTGTCTGTCTCCCATAGGCTCTAGTAATTGAATATTTTGTGTCCAATGGGTAAGTAATGGGATTCAGGAGGTGAGGCCTTGCTAGAAGTTTGTCACTGGAAGTGGGCTTTGTGAGTAAAAAGCTGTGGTTTGGTTTTTTGTTTTGTTTTGTTTTTTTGTTTTTTCTGTTTCCTGCTTGTGGTTGATGATTTGAGTTCTGGGCTTCCTGCTGCCTGCTACTTGTAATTATGCCTCCCCACTTTGGGGACTTTTATCCTTCTGGAACCATAAGCTCAAATATGTTCTTTCTTTCAAAGTTACCTTGGTCGTGGTGATTCATCACAGTAACAGAAAAGTTGCTAATAGAGTTCATTTGTTTGTTGTGTGTTCTTCCCAAAGTAGACAACTAAATTGGGCCTTACCTTCACCTTTCCAGCCCGGTTCATATCACCTTGAAAGGAGCTGCTAACTTTCTGGCCTTCGTCAATCACTATCTGAAAACAGTAAGGACACACAGACAGGAAATAATGGTTTCTGTTCCTACCTAGATATGAAAGACCAGATTTTCTAAGCTATAGCAGTGGTGAGGGGCTAGGTTTCAGCAAGTCCAACTGCGATTCTGGTACCCTAGTCTCATCCAACATAGAGCAGATAACTTAACCCAGCATGCTTGTATATAAAACAGACAGATGATCTGCCTCCTAGGCAGCGCCCCTCTGATTTGAATGCACAAATCAGAGACTGCAACTTCAGTGTTTTCAAGCTACGAGAAGACAAGGCAACTTAACAATTCTAGGCCTCTCTATATTTAATATATCTCACACCTGTAGAGTACAAATCCTTTATGAAAAACAGCTCATAACTCAGTCATCAGCAGCACCAAACTGAGAAAAGGGGTTATAAACCTCTGTTCTATACAAACATATTTCTATCACAGAGACTTTTGACCCCTTATAAAATCAAAGTCTCAAGTGATTCTGTCCTTAATATCGCGTGCAACATTGCAAAGCAGAAACAGAAACTCAATTGACTTTAGAAAACTAATGGAAACTCAAATGGCTTAAAAAGAGAACACTATGAATTACCACTCATTGATAATGAAACAACAGCCAAAGAGGAGTCGATGAATAGTGCCAATAAAGTCTTGATGATTAGAGGCCAGCATTTAATATCTAGGAACCAAATCTTAGAAAAAGTAAGGTAATGGCTTCTGCTTTACGTCTAAATGTGAAGTCTAAGTTTAGGAAAAGTAAAAGTAAGCCCATTTTATATAAAGAAGTAGAAAAGGGAACTCTTGTTAAAAAGTAAAATATATAATTTCATGAAGTTTTTACAAAAAATTAAGGATAATCAAACACTGGCACATAATGACTTAATTCTCAACAGAGTGCTGTTTGAATGGCCTCTTTTCTAGGAAGAATGCTTTCTTCTTCAAGTTGTTTCTATAAATATAAGACACAATTACCTGGTCCTCTTCTGAGCCTTCTGATGAAGTATGAAGAAAACTGGTTGTATTTCTAAAATGATGACCATTTGATTCATTCTTTTGAGTCCATTTTTCAACAGGAAATATATTTTTTGATGAGTCGGTTCCATGTGTTCCCCCTTTTGCCACATTATCCTCTGAAATGGTAAGTTATGAATTATTAAAAACAGCCATTGTGGCCAGGTGGGTTTCTTTTGTGTTTATCAAAAATTTTTCTCCCCCATCCAAAAAAGGAATACTTTGCAAAGACCTATATAAGTAGAAGTTTCTTGAAGCCTTAAATACTCTTAAATATATTAAAGTTATTCTAAAATTGCATAAAAAGATAACACTACTTCAACATTCAATGAACACTGTCTACTATATACCAGCACTATTTTTTATCATTTAAAAGTTCAGGAAAGTACAGTTCCCTCAAAAATTTGAGATATAATTTATCTCGCTTGAGATAATGAACCTTTTTTCCACATATGGAAGCAGCATATGTCTACTTTTTAAAAAATTATGAAAAAAGAATAAATATGAAAATCGTCCCTTTAATCCTATGCAGCAGAATAACCACAATAAAATGTTCTGAGTGCTTGCTTATCTGTTCATTTTTTATGTCCCCATTTACTTCTAAAACGCAAAATAGAATATATAAATGCTAAAATTCAATTTGGCAATAGTATTTTTATGATATTGAATATTATTCTACATAACTTTAAGTTAGAGAGAACTCCATTATATACATGTGAGATAATTTACTTAGTCAATGTCCATTCTTAGCTCTTTATAATCATAAGCAATACCTCTTGTAGGGTAGTGGTGGTGCACACCTTTAATCCCAGCACTCAGGAGGCAGAGGCAGGTAGATCTGTGTGAGTTTGAGGCCAGCCTGGTCTACAAAGTGAGTTCCAGGACAACCAGGATTATACAGAGAAACCCTGTCTCAAAAAACCAAATATACATACATACATATATATGCATACATACATATATATATACATACATACATACATACATACATACACACATATATCTGCAATATCTCTGCATTAAATCCATGCACAGTTATGATTTTTCCTTAGGACAAGAAAAGAACCTAAAATTAATTCAAAATTAAGAGACTGCAAAAATTATATTATGACACTATGAACAGAAATTGGGAGAACAAAATAGAATAAGTTGGATAAGAAATAATAAATCTAGAACTTACATGTTGCATTTGAGGTATTTTGGAGGAAATGACTGAAACACAGCTGCAAATGTAGGCTGAAGTGTGGAAGGAATATCACACTCAGAGGTGACTGTCTGTCATCTATACTGAGGCAATGGCTTAAGCAACAAAAATTATATTAGCATAATGGTTATGATGGTAATATTGGCTGTCAACTTGACAGGATCTAGGAACACTAAGAGACAAGCTTCCGGGCACACCTGTGAAAAATGATCAAGGTTAGGTTAAATAACTTGGGAGGACTCATCCTGAACCCATGAAGCAGCATTCCATGGGCTGGGGTCTTGCAGGAGATAAGAAGGAGGAAGTACACTGAGTACAAGTAGTCTCTGCTTCTTCCCGGGATACAATGTGACCAGCGTCTTCACACTCTAACCACCACACCTGCCCCTGACACACTTTACTCTCAGACTGAGCCAAAATAAACCGTTTCTTCTTTCCTTAAGTTGCTTTGTCAAGAAATTTTGTCACACACACACAATTAAGTAATACAATTAGCATTAGTAAAATTACTAAGGACTAAAGGTCACTGAGTGTTGAATGTTCTTTTCCAAGTATCTCAAGAATCATTTCATTTAAATCTTCCAAAAATCCCTCAAAGGTATCCTGTTTCTACCCCCACTTTAAAGAGAATAGTAACTCAGGCTAATAGCTGAGTTAACTAACATGTTCAAGGTAACAGTTGGAATTTGAACCCAAGCTTTCTGACTCTAAAACCTACCCTAACTTCCCTTTGCTACCTTGAATTAAAACAGTAAAACAATAAGAGAAAAACTCCTTGTAGGACAAAATAGGAAAGAAACACAGTAAAAAAAAAAAAAAAAAAAAAAAAAAAAGGGGAAATAAATCTTTTAAAATAAATAAATAGAAGCTTTCAACAGTCCAAGAAGACTTAAGGATTCAGGATAAATATATTTTTAAAAAAATAAAAAATAAATTAACTAACTTGTGTAAATCACAAATACGCATTTTAAAATTATTGAAAGATTAAAAAACAGTCATGTGGTAGATATCAAACCTCCCCCACTTGGTGAATCCTATGCCATGCCCTAACTAGACTATGATGAAAATGTCCCAGAGATGAGGGAGTTATTTTATCTATGAGCCTGAGATAAGTCTTTAAAACCTACCATAGCAGAGCCAACATATTTATTTCTTTTGAGATATCACTTCCATGACATCCAAATCTGCAGTTGTTCTGATGTTCACAGTTTGATGAAGATCTACTTGGAACCCTGTTGTGAGAATGGACTCCATAAACCCAAATATCTGAATGCTTAGTTGCTATGGTTTGGAACTACTTGAGAAGGATTAGGAGATACAGCCTTGTTGGAGTAGGTGTGGCCCTGTTGGAGGAGCTGTGTCACTGGTAATTGGCTTTCAAAAGCCCACACCAGACCCAGTTTCCCTCTCTCTGCCTGCTGCTGCCTGTAATTCTCTCAGCACCAAGCCTTTCTGCTTCCTACCATGGTGATGATAGACTAACCAAGCCACCAATTAAATGCTTTCTTTTATTATTTCAGAGTTTCCGTGGTCATGGTGTCTCTTCACAGCAATAGAACAGTAATTAAGATGGAAGTTGGCACCGGGCAGAGTGGCAAACTGCTGTGACAGGCTGAGTATACTATTTACTGGAAGAATATGGAAGACATTGGGACTTTGGGCTAGAAAAGCAGCTGAATGCTTTAAGCAGCGCTTAGTGGGATATCCTGCTAGTAGCATGGAAGTCAGTGGTGCTGAGGGCAATATGGACTGTGGGGATCCAGAAGAATATTATTGACTGGCCTAGAAACAATGCTTATGATATTTTGGGGTAAAAAAAAATGTGGTTGCTTTTTGTCCTTGTCCTAAAAGTCTGGGGCTGGATTGAAGTTTGGGATTAACGGCTTTCACAGAGGAGATTTTGAGGCAACTTAGTATTGACTGTGTCAAGTGGTTATTGTTGATTATTCTTATGCAAATCTATAATGAAAAGGACCGTATGGAGTAAAGAAAAGTTCAGAGCTCTAGTTTAAGGAGAAAAAGAACAGTGCAAAATGTATTGGAGCCAAATCTTATGCTCAAGGTGATTAAAAAGTTTAATGTAAAGCTTGATGCTAAATAGAATAAAGGGAGTAGTACCATCAAGGCACAATACACCCAAATAATCCTTCAAAATGTGTATGAGTAAAGGCTGAGGAATTTCCTAGGTCTAAAACAACAGAAATCTTATGCAAATGTAATTCAAGGAGAGGCCCAGGTTTCAGACCCAACTAGCAACAGAACTCACAGCCATGTGGTTCTGGATTTAGAGTCAAGAAGGATATAGGAACAGGCATGTGGTATCTTCCTCCATTGTTAAGAAAAGTCACTGAAGCCAGGCATGTGGCAGAGCGGTCCATGCATGGAGGCCCAGAGAGGACACAGTATGAAGGTAAAACCTGGATTACCAAAGAAAACTTCTAGCAGGAGGTAGAATCAACCCAAGAGAGAGAAGTGTGTTGCAGGCAGTAAAGCTGGAATAGAAGAGCCATCTAATAAACTCTTTAACAGCAGACATGGAACTGTATGATTTGGGGTTTGCCTGCTGGTTTCCAGTCTTACTTGGCTCAGTGTTTCCTCGCTACACTCCTTTTCCTCCTGTCTTTGATTCTAAATACCCATTACAACTAAAATTGAGATTTGTAGAGAGGTTGTCAAGAATTAACACTAAATTTTTGTTTATTTGTTTATGTGTAAGGGTATAAGCCTGTATATCTTTGCATGTCTGGTGCCTGAGAAGGCCAGAAAACACATCATACACCCTGGGACTTGAGTTACTCATGATTTAGAGACATTCTATAGGTGCTAATAAGTGAACATGGGTCCTCTAGGAGAGAAGCCAGCATTCTTAACCACTGAGCAATCTCTCTGGCTCCCTTCTTTTTCAAACACGAAATACAGTTGTAGGACAAAGTAACAGAGCCTTTGATAAAAAGTCACTTCTAATGAGCCATTTTCTTTCTTAAAAAAAGAAAAAATACATATCTATATACTTTGAAACCAGCTCTCCATTATTGCCTACACACCAGGACCAGCAACTCCTAACTAGCCACTATTAAAAAGATAACCTCTGCCTTTTAGGCCAACAAATTCTGAATGAATGAAAGCTCTGTTGTGAAGTACATGCAAGCTTTGTATGCCAGAGGTAGAAGAGCTCAAAAAGTGGGTAATATGCTAGGAGAGTTGCTAAAACCACAGCTGGGATAACAAACAATATGAGGAGTCAGACCAGTGAGGATGAAATAGTTTAAAACTTAGTCTCCCAGGGGCTGGAGAGATGGCTCAGTAGTTGAGAGCACTGGCTGCTCTTCCAAAAGAACCCAAGTTCAATTCCCAGCACCTACATGGCAGCTCACAACTGTCTATAATTCCAGTTCCAGGTAGCCTAACACCCTCACACCAATGCACATAAAATAATACATAAAATAAAATAAAATAATAAAATAAAATAAAATGTAAACTGGTACAACCACTCTGGAAATCAATCTGGCGCTTTCTCAGACAACTAGGAATAGCGCTTCCTCAAGATCCAGCCATACCACTCCTAGGCATATACCCAAAAGAGGCTCAAGTACACAAAAAGGACATTTGCTCAACCATGTTTGTAGCAGCTTTATTTGTAATAGCCAGAAGCTGGAAACAACCCAGATGCCCCTCAACTGAAGAATGGATGCAGAAACTGTGGTACATCTATACAATGGAGTATTACTCAGCAATGAAAAATAAGGAAATCATGAAATTTGCAGGTAAATGGTGGGACCTGGAAAGGATCATCCTGAGTGAGTTGTCCCAGAAGCAAAAAGACATGCATGGTATATACTCACTCATATAAACATACAATATAGAATAAACCCACTAAAATCTGTACATCTAAACAAACTAAGCAAAAGAGAGGAC